ATGAGCATAATTTTGGTAATCTCACCCGTTAACCGTAAAACTACAAGCATTTATGAGAGTCTTTTTATAAGAGTACGAAACTCTTTTTAATAAGAGATTTGTACATTGAAAAATAAGCAAACACATTTTGGTTCAAGAAAAAAAAAAAAAAAGCAAACACATGGCCAAAAATAAGAGCGTTGGATTTGACATTTTACAATTACACAATTAACACTCTCACTCTCGCTCCCAATCTCAATCTCCTGAAAAAGCTTCAACCAGCAAAAACAATGGTTTTAGTTAATCTTCACTCGAATGGTCAACCAATTACCATCAACAGGGGCATCTTGACCTGGTACTTGATCCGCATGAGAAATCAAACCAGAAACCAACTGCAGTCTGAACCGATTCAAGACCTGAACCTCCCTGGTGTACCACAAACAGTATATTTCTCCTTTTTTTTTTGCTGCAGTGAATCTGCTTGTGATCACATTAGTCCAGAGTTTTTATACAGTTTATGCTTATTGTAAGCCACATTCTTAACTTTCATTGTCATTTCATTTTTCATTTAGTTCTTAGTTTTTTCAGTATGTTGTATTCCCTTCTATTCAAAATAATAACATTAACGTTGTAACATCAGGGTTTTCAAATTGTTAGTGGAATAAAAAACATATTAAAAAAGTTTGATTTTTGATTACTTTTTTTCTTTAAAAGCTATGGAAAATAATAGTGACTAATGATGGGGACGGGAAATCCGCTGCAACGCGTCATGGTCGCAATGAATTCAAAGAGACCATTGGTTGACTATTGGTGTCTTTTTTTTATAAGAGCACCTAATAAAAACTTATTAGATTTTTGTAGAGAAATTTGGTCATATGACCATATAAAACTGAAAAATAGATAAAATAACCATAAAAATCAATGGTTATAGTATTTTGTATATATTTTACAATATATACAAAATTATCCCTTTTTTATTTTTTTTCTTTCTTTCTTATTTTTTATTTTTCCCTCCTTTCTTTTATTTTTTCTTTCCGTTTATTCCTCTTTCCTCATTCTTATCACGTCTCTTTCCCCTCCGTCTTCTCTCCTACCCTCCCTCGTCCCTTTCCATTTTCTCCTCTCTCCTATATAATTCATAAAATCAAACATTTTATATATAGTATAATATGGTAATATAAATCGATGTAGTATACTATAATTGTGTATGTATAAATTTTGTTTGAAGGGCAAAATAGACAAATTTTAGAGTTTTTGGTTATTGAATCAATTATAAAATTAGTATGGTTATATACTTTATTTTATAGTATAATATGGTTATTTCACAAATTAATCCTTTTGTACTCCTTAAATTCTATATCACTCATTAAGTACTACAAGAACTTTTAAGAATTTTTTAACAAGATTTTCAATGTTAGAATCTTAATATACTAGTATGAATTTATTTATTTGACAAAAGGGTTTTCTATATGAATTTATTGGAGTCTTGAAAACCAAACAAAAAGAAAAAAATATGAAATTATTGGACTTTTTTCTAAGAGCACCTTATCATTTATACGAGGATGGCGAGGTCGTACCATGTGCCGAGGTTCTGATGTTTACGATTCTATGAGGGGATGTGCCTAAGAAATTACGCAGAATCTTAGCTAATTCTCTGAAATGACAAGAGAGAAAAAAAAGCCTTAAGGGAAATCTTTTAGCAAAAACATATATAATCGTCAGATCTGAACCTGATTATGTCCACTACGTACGTACAATGAAACGTGCAGGCGTCTTTTCCTAACCACTATTTGGGGTTGCCAATTTTTGTCATATATAATGATGAAGAAAATAAGGGAAATTAGGTGAAAGAGGAAGGTTTGAAAAATTAGGAAAAGAAAGTCAGAGCAGCTTGTGAAAACATACGATTTTGCCACTCGGCAATCGGCATTCATATTGCATGTGTAATGTGTGTGTATTGGAGGAGGCATTTATCTCACGTGGTATTGACATAAATTACGTGCATAAAATAAAAATGTATCCTCAAATGATTTATATTATTTTCAAATTAACAAAAATAGTCTAAAACACTTGAAGCCTAAAACAATTTAAATCTTTAATCCGAAATCTTAACTGTAAACCCTAAAAGTCTAAACTTGAAAAACTAAATTGATGTATTTCATTAATTTTGAAAGAGTTATTTTTTTTTTAATTTATCATTTTTAAGTATAAATAGTAAATAGTATCTTATATCATATATATATATATACGCATATGCATTACAAGCTATGATGATTTAGCCCCTAACTATTTCAGAACACTAATAAAAATAAAAACCTCGACGAGAACGATCAACTAAGCTTTTTTGTTTTTTATCGTCGCTGATATTCAAATTCGTGAATTTTGAGAGAAAAAAAAAGAAGTTGTTTCGGGTTTTGAGAAGATTTACGAAGTCATGCGAATTAACTGAGTGTCATGAAACACACCGTAAGTGAAATAGTGAATGACACATATTTTTTTCTACGTCGAAGACTCTTCTTCGGGTCAGACTATATGGTTTCCCACACGCTCCCTCATTCTAAACCTCACGTTTCAGATTTTAATTGGTTTAAATACAACTACAAGTAAAACACAGAGATAGCAGAAAATGAAGAGAAATGTGTGGTTGGTTGCTTTGTTTTTGTTTCTCTATTTGATGGTTCTATCTTATGCAGATTCAACTCAGCCATACCAAACCCGGAAAAATTTTAAGTACCATCTGATTTGCACCGTATTTTTCTATATATATGACTAACATCAATTTCTCTAGCAGTGGATATCAACACACCATCTAGTGAGTCGAGACCGGCGCCCCAATGTTGCTAGCAAGACGAAGGTGGTCGGAAAAAGAGCATCGAGAACTGCCGTTCACGGGTCATGGAAGTTAATTAGATGGACCGATGATTTATATAAGCTATGTATTTTTAAACGTAATTAAGGTTCCCGAATAATTGAGCTACGAAAAAAGGGTTCTGAAATTATAAACTTGTGTTGTATTATAGTGTGATCAGTGATCACTGATCACAGATGTTATACGCTTAAAATAATGTGCTAGTATTAAGCATGATTCTCATAAATAAGATGCTATATATTGATATGTGACAAGCTTACACAAAAAGTTAAAAAAAAACACATATGCTAGACTAATTAGGGTTGATAAAATTATTCATTAGATTTGCTGTTGATAATGTATTTTCCTGATTCGATCCAATAATAAGTATCTCTCGAATCAAATAAACCAAAAGCACTAATTTTAAAAAGGCAGATGTTCACGTTGATTTGTATTATATCAAATACGAAATACCATATCACCGTACGTCTTACTTTTTTTTTACATGTTTATTTTTCTATTTTCTAAAAAAAAAATTATTATCACGTAGCTTTCATCTGATATATTAGATTTAAAAACAATAATTATATTTCTGCATTAAAAACTTATGTTTTTTACAATTTTTGTTTATATTAAACAGAGCAAATCGGGATCACATAACCAAACTGGTATAGTGGCACATGTATGATGTAGCTATTCGTTTCTTTGGTCCACTAATGCCAACGGGAGAGGATCATGAGGACGTCGTGCCATGTGCCTAGTTTCCCATTTTGACGATTCTATGACGGTCTGTGTTTAAGAAATTACGCACACCCTTAGCTAATTCTCTGAAATGACAAGAGAACAAAAATAAAAACTGTAAGGGAAATTCCTTAGCTAAACTGGATCAACATGTCGTAATTATCGTGAGATCTGAGCCTGATTATGTCCACTGCGTAGTACGTATGATGAACGTTCAGGCGTATGTTCTCCATACTTGGAAACTGGTTTACGTGTCTATACACTATTTCGGTTTGTCAGTTTTTATTATAATGGTGATTGGTGTTTCATGTGTGAAGATAATTAAGGGAAATTAGGTGAAAGAGAAAGGTTTGAAAAATTAGGAAAAGAAAGTCAAGATGATTTTGGCGTTAATAAAAAACCTATGTTATTCATTGTGAACAATCAGCTATGTATCTATATGTCTATACAAATAACAAGTTAAGTTGAAATGGTGATGACCATAAGAGAAAAAAAAAAAAAAACAGGTTAAGTTGAATGCTTTATATTATTTTGGACGCTGGGTATATCAACGTCTTGTTTTCCTAATTTCCATCCACGTTCCTTCTTAAATGTTACACGAATTTATTAGTCTTTATACAAAAGCCCATAGGCCATACGCATATAGTCTTTTTTTTAATGAGCGTAATTTTGGTGTTTGAATCTCACTCGTTGACTATACAAACTACATGCATTTACTTTTTGAAGCGACCTACAAGCAGGGGCGGACCCACGTTATAAGTTTTGGGGCATGTGCCCCCATACTATCTTTTATAAATTTTCTATTGAAGTATATTACATTTGTGGAATTAAATTTTATATTTTTTCTTCCCACCTTAGTTTAAAGGATGTTCTACATCCTTTAAGTGCCTTTTTTGTTTTTTTTGTTCTTTCATATTTATCACTTTTCCATAAGTGTTTGTTATTAATTTTTAAGTATTATATTTTATTTCTCTTATTTTTTCTTTAAAACTTTTTATTCTCACCTTAGTTCTACAGCTTTTAAGTGCCTCATTTGTATTTATTTTTTTCTTTCTAAACACTTAATTTTGTGTGTTTATCACATTTTTATAAATATTTGTTATTAGTTTTTAATTGTTTTATTTTATTTGTCTGATTATTTTTTTCTAAGATTGTTATTCTTTTATATAAATTAATAGTTTCTTTTTTCATATTTTTCTAATTTAGTTAATTTTAATTTCGTTATAAGTAAGATCTAAAACTCTATAACTAATATAAAGTTTTCTATGATAGTGATATATTTTAATTAATAAAATTATATTTAATTTATATATTATATTGTACCCCATATAAAATATATTTCTGTATCCGCCCCTGACTACAAGCATTTATGATGAGTACGAAATCTTTATTTAAATAGATTTGTAAATTGGAAGATAAACACACCCATGACCAAATCACAGCTTTAAATTAATTACACCCTTTCATTTGACATCTCACTCATTTACACTCTCCCTCTCGCTCTCAATCTCCTGAAAAAGCTTCAACTAGCAAAAGCAATGGTTTTAGTGTACGTTCATTCCGATGGTCCACCAATTTTCATCAACAAGGACATGTTGACCTGGTACTTGCTCAGTCTCAAGCTCCGCGGAAGAAAAACGAGAAACCAACAATCTGAACCGGTTCACGATCAGCACCTTCTTTGTTTACCGGAAATCAACAGAGCGAATCATGACCAAGACTTGCAAACCCACGAGCAAACTCATTCCACGGTGGTAGAAGAGAGGCGAAAAAAGACACAAGATAGTTGGGTGGTCTCGATAAAAGAAACGCTCGAGCAGGTTAATAGTGACGATGACATGAACAAATGGGGCAAGATCTGTATCTACAGAGTTCCACATTACCTGCACGTAGAAGACAGCAAATCGTATTTTCCGCAAACTGTCTCGCTTGGTCCGTACCACTACGGGGAGAAGCAAACCCAGTCCATGGAGTATCACAAGTGGCGTGCGGTCAATAAGGTTCTGAAACGTACGAAGCAAGGCATCGAGATCTATATTGAGGCCATGAAAAAGCTCGAGGAGAGGGCTCGTGCTTGCTACCAAGGCGACATTGAAATGGATAGTAATGATTTCACAAAAATGCTTGTTCTAGATGGATGTTTTGTTCTAGAGCTCTTCAGGGGAACCGTTGAAGGGTTCCAAGAAATTGGGTAAGTCTTGACTAAATGTTCTGGTTTTGGATCTGGATATCTCATATACTTAGCTAAACTGGTATGAATCGAATCCGGTTATTTAAACCCTTGATTTGTATTATTAGTTTATTATTGCTTTTTGGATGAGTAGATATGCACCCAACGATCCGGTTTTTGCGATGAGGGGATTGATGCATTCGATTCAACGTGACATGGTAATGCTGGAGAATCAACTTCCTATGTTCATTCTAGACCGGTTATTACAGGTACAACTCGGTACACAGAACCAAACCGGTATAGTGGCACACGTTGCTGTTCGCTTCTTTGATCCACTAATGCCAACGGGAGAGGCGTTGACCAAACCAAGCCAGTTAAAACTCATGAACTGGCTGGAAAAATCGTTTGACTTACTTGGGGACAAGGGGGAGTTGCACTGTCTGGATGTTTTCCGTCAAAGCCTCCTACGGTCTAGTCCTACACCACCGAACCAGAGGTCTCGAGATAGGCGCGTGGTGGTCCTTGTGGACAAGCGTCAACAACAATTGGTACATTGTGTGACGGAACTAAGAGAAGCTGGTGTTAAGTTCAAGAGAAGGCAAACCGACCGGTTTTGGGATATTCAATTCAATAACGGTTGTCTTGAGATACCTAAACTTTTAATCCATGACGGTGAGTTAAAATGTTTCCTCATAGTGATTTCTTACTTTTTTAATTAATAAATTTTACATTTCCCTCACATCTATTTCTCGTTTATCTGAATTTTGACAAACAAATTTTATTTATGAATGAGCAGAAAATGGCATTTTTCCTAAACCCTAACACTCTTCTCGTTTACCGTAGGTACCAAGTCTCTCTTCTCGAATCTCATAGCATTTGAGCAGTGCCATATCGACTCGGGCAACAACATAACATCCTACATAATCTTCATGGATAATCTAATAAACTCATCTGAAGATGTTAGCTACTTGCACTATTGTGGTATCATCGAGCATTGGCTAGGGAGTGATTCTGAAGTTGCGGACTTGTTCAACAGGCTATGTAAAGAAGTGGTTTTCAATCCCAAATACAGTTATCTGTCTCGACTCTCTGATGAGGTTAACCGTTATTACAGCCGGAAGTGGAATTCCTTGAAGACTACTTTAAAACACAAGTACTTCAATAACCCTTGGGCATATTTCTCCTTTTTTGCTGCAGTTATTCTCCTAATCCTCACGTTATCTCAGAGTTTCTATGCTGTTTATGCTTATTATAAGCCAAATTCTTAACACAAAACTGTAATTTTATTTTTCATTTGATTTAATTTAGAATTTTTGTGTTTTCTTATTTTTTTTATTAACATTTTGTATTTTATTCTATTAAAAAAACCTTGTAACTATTTGTTTGGAAGCCATATCCTAAACTAGAAGTAGTTAACATTTTTCAAACGTTACACAGATGAAGGCAGCGATTATGGGCTATGTAAAATGTTACTCTGAATCTTAACTAGTTTTGGATCTCTATATTATCTAACCCGAGTTTGGATACATGTTCGTCGCGTCGGGGCTGATCCGGTTCCCTATACTTGGACACTATTTTTGATTGGTCAAAATTTTGGGTATTTAAATCTGAATATAAGTATATGAGTTTATTTTGGAGTCTTTCTAAAAGAGCACCTCATCGCTAATACGAGAATGGTGAGGTCGTGCCATGTGCCGAGTTTCCTGTCTCTACGATTTTATTACACTACATCTTAATTGGATTCTTCCCTGACCCTATAGAAGATATCAAAGAAATCTAGAAGATTTTCAAAAATTATTACAGAATAGAAATTTGGCATCTTTATTGTAAGATATGTTAGCACAATGTATAAAAAAAAGTAAAAGATATATAGAAGACGCAATTATGTATTATATTTACGTTAACGACAGCTGTACAGGTCTGGCTGACTTGAGACAGATTAAAAATTGCTAGTAATAATTAAAGTCTAAACATGCTATTTTATTGACATTTTGGAAAAAAAGTTTATTAATAAGATTATCTGCAGTGAGATTTCTCATCAAGTCTCTCATATTTAAAAATTAATAAAACAAAAAAAAGAGAAGAGAGAGAATGAAAAGAATCTCTTATTTGAAACAAGTTAATTAACTAAAAATTTAATTTTTTTTTAATTTAAAACAAAAAATATAATTAAAAAATATTAAAATTAATGTAATTAAATTGGTTAGAGACTAATGTGAGTTTTGATATTTGACATTTCAAATCTCAATTGTTGCGTACAGACTACAGAGTATTATCTTTTCTTAAAAAGAGTTTGAATATTTCAATATCTCACTTCATTAAAATATATTACTATATTACGAAAATATGCACAAGACTTTTATAGTCTTTTTAAAAGAGTTTTTTAAACAAAACATGGCCCGTCAAGGCATTATCCAAGGCATTATTGATTACAAATGCCAGACTCTTTTCTTCTGTTTGTCAGACTTATTTAGAACGTGTGTATACTGCTCTGCACAGATGTATTATATGTATAATAGTAAAATGGTGGTTGTCATTATAGATGTCCATAAATATTAGCAAACCAATCACAACTTAAATTCAGTTGTTCCATCTTTGCTTTTGACATTTTCTCTCTCACTTTCAATCTTCTGAAAAAGCTCCAACAAAAAAAAATGGTGAATCTTACTAATCGACAACCACCAAAACCACCACCACCACCATCATTCGGACCCATTACTACTCAGTTATCAAGAAATTTCATTCAAAGACTAACCAGAAGTCAACCAGTACGTATTAGACCACCACCACCACCACCGCCATGGTCACACCTTTCACTGCGGCCACGGTCATTACCACCGCCGCCACCACCACCACCATCAACACCGTTTGGGCCGATTCTTCCTCTACGGCATTTAATAATAAGTAGAAGAAAAAGAAAAATGTACCACAAATACATGTTGACCTGGTACTTGCTCACCGTCATAATGCGCCAAAAACTCCAAACCCGAAACCAGAAACCCGAAGAGACACGAGAAGAATGGGTGATTTCGATCAAAGACAGGATGGATCAAGCACTTAGAGACGACTCGACAACTAGCTGGGACAAGCTCTGTATCTATAGAGTTCCACAATACCTTCAAGAAAACGACAAGAAGTCTTATTTCCCACAAACCGTCTCGCTTGGTCCGTACCACCATGGCCAGGAACATCTAGTGCCCATGGAACATCACAAATGGCGTGCGGTCAATATGGTGATGAAACGCACCAAGCACCGCATCGAAATGTATATTGACGCCATGAAAGAGCTTGAGGAGAAGGCTCGTGCTTGTTACGAAGGTCCCATTGGTTTGAGCAGTAACAAGTTCACAGAAATGCTGGTTCTTGATGGTTGTTTTGTTCTTGAACTCTTTAGAGGAGCCAATAACGATAGAGGATTCTTGGAGCTCGGGTAAGCTTGATTCAACTCGGGGTGTTTAAATCGGCTTTCGGTTCGGTTTTATATAAATCATAACTATCATAGATGGTAGGTTCTGCTTTTGGTGAAAATCGGTTTTTCTTATTCGGTTCGGTTCAGTTTTGGTTTAGAAGAATAGTTTTAAAATAAAATGTAGTTCGGTTTCCATACTATTTTTGTTTGATTCAGGTCGAGGAACGGTTAAACCGGACTGATTTCAGATAATGTCTTTATTTTTTTTTATTTTTTTGGTGTTGGATAGATATGGTCGTAACGATCCGGTCTTCGCGATGCGAGGATCAATGCATTCAATTCAACGTGACATGGTAATGTTGGAAAATCAACTTCCTTTGTTTGTACTCAACCGGTTATTAGAGCTACAACTTGGTACAGAAAACCAAACCGGTTTAGTGGCGCAATTAGCAATTCGGTTCTTCAACCCGCTAATGCCAACCGATAAATTATCAACCGAAACCGACCAGCTAAAAATCGAGGACGCACTAGAAAACGGCAATTTTTTTAACCCTATTGCTGACAAGGAAAAGGAAGAGCTACATTGTTTGGATGTTTTCCGTCGAAGTTTGCTTCGGCCTAGTCTAAAACCGGAGCCAAGGTTATCACGAACCAGATGGTCGTGGAAAAGACGTGTGGCGGACAAGCGCCAACAACAACTAATACACTGCGTGACAGAACTTAGAGAGGCTGGTATTCAATTCAAGATAAGAAAAACCGACCGGTTTTGGGATATTAGGTTCAAAAACGGTTACCTGGAGATACCCAAACTACTTATCCATGACGGTAAGTTCACGTTTTCGTTCTTTCTGGTTTTTAAATTCATTGCCTACACATTTTATTAAAAATATTTTAAATTTTACACTTTTTATATGTGTTGATAATTAAGAAACATATTCCTTAGAAGTCACAGTGTGAATGTGTGATATCCAACGTGAATCATTTTTATGAAATAAATAATCAAAGCCAAATTTATACGACATTGTACATTGGTTTTGTACTTTTGTTGAATTTTTCTCCACAAGTTTTTTTTTTAAAAAACTTTGCATTCATTAATCATGGCAAGGCTTATTTTCTTAATTGGATTTTGACTTTATTCTATATTCGGGTTTTGAAAATCTAAAATACTTGGCCCTTAAGATAGATATCTTGTCCCACAAGTTATTTCAGTACGTGGACTTTGCAATACAACTAAGACGCGGCTCAAAGTTTGCAGACCTTTTCTCCACAAGTTGCTATAGTAAATAGATTATTAACCTATGGTCTCTCGTCTTTGTTGTAGGTACCAAATCTCTCTTCTCGAATCTTATAGCTTTTGAGCAATGCCATATCGACTCAAACAACGACATAACATCCTACATAATCTTCATGGACAATTTAATAGATTCTGCCGAGGATGTTAGATATTTGCATTACTGTGGTATTATCGAGCACTGGTTAGGAAGTGATTCTGAAGTTGCTGATTTGTTCAACCGGCTATGTCAAGAAGTGGCTTTTGACCTTCAAAATAGTTATTTATCTGAATTGTCCAATAAGGTTGACCGTAACTACAGCCGGAAGTGGAATGCTATGAAAGCGATCTTGAAACACAAGTACTTCAATAATCCTTGGGCATATTTCTCTTTTTTTGCAGCAGTTATTCTTCTGATTCTCACATTATTTCAGAGCTTTTTTACTGCTTATGCTTATTTCAAACCACCTTAGTTTTCTTTTCTTTTTTGCTAAAAACCACCTTAATTTTATTTCATTCAAGCTGGAGTGTTTGTATCTTCTTCACTCTATTTTTTTATTGTATTCCAATTGTAATGGTAGTGAGTAATCTAAAAATAAGGTTTTGGGCGTTTCAATATGATACAAGAACTTATTACAACGAGTTTTTAGATTTGGGCATTTGTTTCATAAACTATAAGACCACAAGATCCAGAACATGTCATATCTCCCCACTGCCAAAACTCAGTTTTTTTATCTTGAGAAATTCTTCCTTATAATTATTATAGCTATCATAATGGAGCTTGTAAGTCGTAACGAACAAGTAATTTTCTACTATTTTTATAAGAGTTTGTAGAACAAAAACGAACCAAACGTGGCTAATCATGGCATCAATCAGCAAATTTAAAGTTTGTCAAACTTATAAATAATGCATGTGTATGATTAGATGTATATATGTATTCAAACTTATCAATGCATAGATCTATTTGTATGTTAGTACATTTTTGCTTTTGACATTTTTCTCTCTTGCTCAATCTTTTGATAACGTTTCAACCAACAAAAATGGTGCGGATTCTTACTTTACCACCACCACCTCCACCACCACCACCATCATTTAGATCGATTCCTCCTCAGCGGTACTTCTTTAAGAAAAGAAGCAGAAATACACCATTACCACCACCACTGCCACCATCATTTAGATCGATTCCTCCTCGACGGTATTTCTTCAACAAAAGAAGCCAAAATCCACCACCACCGCCACCACCATCATTTGGACCGATTCTTCCTTGGCGGAAGTTTGTCAAACGAAGAAAAATTAACCAAGCCATGTCTTTGTTCCAAAAAGACATGTTGACCTGGTACTTGCTCACCCTTGTGATGCGCCAAAAACTACAAACAAGAAACCGGAAACCTGAAGAGACTCGAGAACAATGGGTCATTTCGATAAAAGACAAGATGCAACAAGCACTTAGAGAAGACGCCACAACTAGCTGGGAAAGGCTATGTATCTATAGAGTTCCACATTACCTTCAAGAGAACGACAACAAGTCCTACTTCCCTCAGACCGTCTCGCTTGGTCCATACCACCAAGGCAAGGAACATCTCCTGCCTATGGACCGTCACAAGTGGCGAGCAATCAATATGATCATGTCACGCACCAAACAAGGCATCGAAATGTATATTGATGCTATGAAAGAGCTTGAGGAGAGGGCTCGTGCTTGCTACGAAGGTCCCATTGGTTTGAGTAGTAACAAGTTCACGGAAATGTTGGTTCTTGATGGTTGTTTTGTTCTTGAACTATTCAGAGGAGCTGATGAAGGATTCTCGGGACTCGGGTAAGCCTGCTTCAATTTTTGATTTTTTTTTTTAGGTTATCTCATCTACTCGCTAAACCGGTTATCTAAGTTGTTGACTTTTATTTTTTTCCCTAATGATTTTTTGTATGTTTCGTTTTGTTGTTTGCACGTAGATATGATCGTAATGATCCAGTTTTCGCTATGCGAGGATCGATGCATTCAATTCAACGTGACATGGTGATGCTGGAAAATCAACTTCCTTTGTTTGTTCTCAACCGGTTATTAGAGCTACAGCTAGGTCCACGAAACCAACCCGGTTTAGTGGCAAAATTAGCAGTTCGGTTCTTCGACCCACTAATGCCAACAGACGAACCGTTGATCAAAACCGACCAGTCAAATCTCGAAAACCCGACGGGAAAAGATAATTTCTTCAACCCAATTGCCGACAAGGATAAGGACGAGTTGCACTGTCTAGATGTTTTCCGTCGAAGTCTGCTTCGACCAAGTACAAAGCCAGAGCCGAGGTTGTCACGAAGGAGATGGTCATGGAAGACACGTGTGGCTGATAAGCGCCAACAACAACTGATACATTGCGTGACGGAGCTAAGAGAGGCCGGTATAAAATTCAAGACAAGAAAAACCGACCGGTTTTGGGATATAAGATTCAAAAATGGTTATCTAGAGATACCAAAACTACTTATCCATGACGGTAATCGAGTTTACATTTTTTTTTCTTTTTTTCCCTGTGCAATGCAATAGTATAGAAATAGTCATCCAAGTCCCTATTGACCAAACCATAAATGTAGAATCCAATAACTCCTTAAACTTACAAAGACAAATTGCCTCGTGTTTCTTGTAGGTACCAAATCTCTATTCTCGAATCTTATAGCTTTCGAACAGTGCCATATCGACTCAAGCAACGACATAACATCCTACATTATCTTCATGGATAATCTAATAGATTCTCCACAAGATGTTAGCTATTTACATTACTGTGGTATCATCGAGCACTGGTTAGGAAATGATTCTGAAGTTGCGGATTTGTTCAACCGGCTATGTCAAGAAGTAGCTTTCGACCCTCAAAATAGTTATTTGTCACAATTGTCGAACAAGGTTGACCGTCACTATAGCCGAAAATGGAATGTTCTGAAAGCGATCTTGAAACACAAGTACTTCAATAATCCTTGGGCATATTTCTCTTTCTTTGCTGCACTTGTCCTGCTATTTCTCACGTTATTTCAGAGTTTTTTTAGCGCTTATCCATATTTTAAGCCGCCACCTTCTTAACCCTTTTTCTTTTATTGCCGAACATTTATGTATTTTCCTTCGCAGTATGCTTCTAATGTATTGCAAAGAGTAAAATAAAAGCTTGACTTCCTTATATTTTTGAATCCATATATTAGAACTAGGGAAGATTGTTGAGTCCACTTTCTTTTAATTTTGTAATTGTCATCCTTAACTTTAGTTGTACTTTGTTATTGGATGAAGAACAAAAAAATGATTGTGTGGTCTCCATAACAGAATGAAATTTTAATTTTATAATGCAATTGCTCGCTATAATACTGATTCATTGTTGTGGAAAAAATTTCGAGGTGGTTTACTAAGAGATAAATCTTCTACGAATGGTAAACAGACACGTGGTAATTTTTGGAACACCAGTGCATGTAATGGTTTCATATGCCTTTTCGACATTCAAGTTAATGAAAAAAATGCAAGAACGCGTGTGGTCTGATCCATATCAAAGAATGAGCAGTTCTGGAGCTACGTACCGTGTTACGTTGTCAACTATCGGACCACTCATGGACTGGTATCCTCCATAGCGGATTACAAGAATTTATTATAAATAATAAATCATATGAGTTTGACTAACAAACATAAACAAATAAAACGTGTCCCAACCAATAGATTTAAAGTTTGTTAAAGCAAACATCATTTATACGAAAAATGGTGAGGTCGTGCCATGTTCCTCAGTAGCTGTGTAATGGACATGTTCCGTCATGCTATCACCAAATCTGTTTTTATTTTTACTTTTCCTAACAATAACTTGTAGTTGAAAAGCAATCAGAAAACTATTATAATGAATCAAATTTAACCCGCCAAAACATCAATATCCGTGATGAAATGTGAGAAGTCGACATAAAATCAGGATCTTTTGAATCTAACTAGAAAAATTCCCTGTTTTAACAAGATAACTTATCTTATCTATTCCAACGACTATTTAGTTTCGTTTATGTGGTTTTGAATTTTTGATCGTTCGAAATTTAGAGAAGCGAACACCTCTGTTCATGCTCGCAGTTTCCAAGTAATTTATCTACTGTAACAAATAGTCAAAAGAATATAAATTTTAGTTGTTATTTTTTCAAAATTATTAATGTGTGTGTGTGTGATTGTAACAAATAGTCATAATACATCTAATTATGGTTGTTGTCATTACAGATCAGTTGGGTCCATAAGACCATAAGTACAATAAGTAACCAATTATAGCTTCAAATCATTACTAGTTGCTTAGATATTTCTTTTTTCTTTGATAAAAGCTTCTGATATTTACACCTACTTTCTCTCTTCCCTTCTCTCTCTCTCATTCTCCAGGAAAAAAAAAAAGCTTCAACCAACAAAAGATGGTGGCTGTCTTCTACAAAGACATGTTGAGCTGGTACTTACTCACCCTCAAGATCCGCGAAAAACTTGAATCCGAGAACCAAGGATCCGAACCGGTTCATCAAGATCAAAACCTCCTCGGTTTACCCGAAGTAGTCACCAGATCCGATCAAGACCAAAACAATCATAACCACGAGCAGACTCTGTCGGACTCGGAGGCCGGTAAGATTGAGGTAACCAAAGAGAGCCCTAGAGATACACGGGACGATTGGGTGATCTCAATCACGGACAAGCTCGAGCAAGCACATAGAGACGACGACACAACAATCTGGGGAAAGCTCTGTATCTACAGAGTTCCATATTACTTGCAAGAAAACGACAACAAATCGTATTTCCCTCAGACCGTCTCGCTCGGTCCGTACCACCATGGTAAAAAACGGCTCCGGTCGATGGACCGTCATAAATGGCGTGCGGTGAGTAGAATCTTGAAACGTACGAACCAAGACATTAAAATGTATATTGACGCCATGAGAGAGCTCGAGGAGAAGGCTCGAGCTTGCTATGAAGGTCCTTTCGGTTTGAACAGTAATGAATTTATCGAAATGCTTGTTCTTGATGGTTGTTTCGTGCTTGAGCTCTTCAGAGGAGCCGTTGAAGGATTCACGGAACTCGGGTTAGCCTGATTTCAATTGTTGGTCAACTTATTTCTGGTTATCTCAAATAATTTCTAAACCGAACTCAATCATTTCGATTATGAATTATTGTTCTTTTGTATTTGTGTAGATATGCACGTAATGATCCGGTTTTTGCGATGAGAGGATCGATGCATTCAATTCAACGTGATATGATAATGCTGGAAAATCAACTTCCCTTGTTCATTCTAAACCGGTTATTAGAGCTACAGCTTGGTTCACGGAGCCAAACCGGTTTAGTGGCGCAATTAGCAGTTCGGTTCTTTGATCCACTAATGCCAACGGACGAGCCGATGACCAAAACCGACCAGTCAAAACTCGAGAGCTATTTGGCTGGAGATAAAGCATTTGACCCATTCGCTGACATGGGCGAGTTACACTGTCTGGATGTTTTCCGTCGAAGTCTGCTCCGGTCTAGTCCTAAACCGGAGCCAAGGTTATCAAGAAAGAGAAGGTCTCGTAATACGCGCGTGGCGGACAAGCGCCGACAACAGCTGATACACTGCGTGACGGAACTGAGAGAGTCCGGTATTAAGTTTAGGAGAAGAAAAACCGACCGGTTTTGGGATATTCAATTCAATAACGGTTATCTAGAGATACCGAGGCTGCTTATTCATGATGGTAAGTTCACGTTTTCCACACTTTCTCTTTTTATATCCAGCTCAAACTAATGTTTTTATGCTTTTTTTATTTATCGAAATTTATTTTGGCGCATATAAATTGATTTTTTCCCACTTTTCTACTCGTATATCAATGGCTAAAGTAAGGAAATGTCATCAAAATTCTCAATATATTGACTAATTCAGAATGATTTAAGCAATGGAAAAAAAGAGTGTTTTACGCTGATGAAACAAATACACTTTTTCATAAAAAGCTCCTTAATACCTTTAAACATTAAAAATCCTCTCTTGTTGTTTTTGTTTCTTTTGTAGGTACCAAATCTCTTTTCTTGAACCTTATAGCTTTTGAACAGTGCCATATCGACTCAAGCAACGACATAACATCCTACATAATCTTCATGGACAATCTAATAGATTCTCACGAAGATGTTAGCTACTTACACTACTGTGGTATTATCGAACATTGGTTAGGGAGTGATTCTGAGGTTGCGAATTTGTTCAACAGGTTATGTGAAGAAGTTGTTTTTGACACCGAAGATAGTTATTTGTCTCGGTTATCAGTTGAGGTTAATCGTTATTACAATCAAAAGTGGAATGCTTGGAGAGCGACCTTGAAACACAAGTATTTCAATAATCCATGGGCCATTATCTCTTTCTGTGCTGCGGTTATTCTACTAGTTCTTACATTGTCTCAAAGTTTTTATGCTGCTTATGCTTATTATAAGCCACCTTCTTAACTTTCATTATTTTTATTCAAAAGGTATTTTTGGGTTTGTTTTAAAGATGTATCATCTTTATAATTTCAAGCTAATAACGTTGATATTGTAAGTTTGTAACAGTTGGGTTTTGGAAAGCTATGGTATATACTTTTTGTCCTGGTATTTCAATTCTTAAAAAGCTTAATTACAGATTTTTCAATCCTTGCTAACATAGCTTAACTTTCATTACTTTTATAGCTTACTTTTATTCAAAAGGAATTTTTGGGTTTGAGTTTCACTATGGTGAGGTAATTCACAATTTCTTTCAAACTAAACAATAGTGCCAGATCATTTTATTAATTATATTTTGCATTGCTTTTTGATGTAGTCGATCATGTACTCCTAAATTCCGCCTTCTATTATTTGGGACTTCGAAAACTGCACAATCCCATATGGCATATTAGTGGAAGGTCTATTTAAGAAGGTCGCTCTAATTCTCATGACTATGAAATTTTAGTAAAAATTGTAATGAAATAATTCTAGTTATAAAAATCAGATTCAAACAAAAAATATTCTAAAAGTATTTAGGCATGTAAATTTGTGGTGGTAATAGATAGATTATGCTAAATCCTAACTTTTTAAAAATCTGCATAGAATCTTTATAAATTAATACTAAATAATTCAATAAATACTATAAATTAATAAATTTTACTAATTCTATCGGGATAGTGTAAAAATTAACAAAATTAGATAAAATAATAAAATAATATTTTTTTTTAAAAAAAAAATATGTGATTATATGGTCTCAATAATCAGATATATTAATAATTATATATATAGACATATATACTTAATATAATCTAGTAAAATATGATTTTATTGTTGTTTCAAATTTACAAATGTTGTTAATCTAATTTTCTAAATACATTGATATGATGTTTCTATGTAAATTTTATAGTGCCGCAAGTTTTTTTCTTTTAATGAATATTAAAAATTCGAACCAAAAAAATTCTCTATAAATTAATAATTTATTAACTAATAACTTGATAAATTAATAAAATTTAAATACTCTAACATTATTTATATGGGTTTTATTGTATTTCTAAAATGAGACAAGTCATTTTAGCCCGGAGAATATTTCAGCCCATAGAATAGAGACCCAATTTAAAGGCCCAATGAGGGATTGACTAATTTCTGACCGGCAAGAGCGGGGACGATAAAAGGCTAGCAGACGGGAATTGATCGTTAATCTCCGCACGTTCATCGGAAAATTCGTACGCTAGCCGAATCTGCTTCCTCCATCTTCTTCCTTTCTTTGAATTTCTTCCTCGCTACGAAGCTAATCGTCCCGCATTCTCCGGTAACCCAATGTCTGCTCTCGTTTTTGTTTTTCCGTCTCCTTTTTCCGGCCAATGCTTGTCGAATAGAAAGTCTACTTTCATTTCACGATCCTCTTGATCTGATTCAGCTACATGATTTTCACTCGCTTTTCTGATTTTGAAAGATATATTTCAACGACTCCGTCATTGAATTTGGCGTTGAGAGATGTGAAAATGGATGCGACCGTATTTCGAATTTGCGAACCTATTGGATTGTTAGCAATGCACCATTACGGTCTTAGATTCCTTCTCCTGCGAATCAGTTTTTCGTAGTCATTGCTCTTTGTGATGATTCTAGAAGCGAATTTAGCGAATAGCATTAGCTAGATTTTGTTTATGTGTATACATTTTCATATACTACAAACATGGAGATTGATAATGTGAGAATTGGAGTCGTTTGTTTGTTCTTCAAACGTGAACTCAGAAGCTGAGCTAATACTCAAACGTGAACTCTCCATTTTTATTAGGTTGGTGTTTGCTCGTCAAGTAGGCTAATCATTTGTCTAAGTAAAAATGGAGACTGATGCTGCTGGCTCTTCATCTCAGTCTCCAGCTATACTATTGGAGAAAGATGAGTCCGTTGCTGGTAATTCTGAATCTTCTGAAAAAGTTATGGGCGTTAAAGAAGATCCCGTGAACTCTGCAGGAGAAACTCATGAAGACTCCACTAGTACAGAAGCTTCAACTACAAAGGTTGAGACTCAAACACCTGCTAAAACAGAGGATATAGTTCCATGCCCGCCAGGTTCCTCCCCACGCGAATCACCGCCATCTCTATTTTCTTCCTCTGGTCTTTCTTCTTGGGCCAAAAGTTTCAAATTCCCGCAGCAAGATCCAAACGCTGCAGACTCTGGGATGTCGTCAGCTTTCACGAGGTTCACCTCTGAGCTTGGTCTGCATTTGCCGACGAAAGGCTCTGACGAGGCCGGTGACCCTAAATCACCAAACACACAAGTTGGTGGTGCTCTTGAGTCGCTCACGAAAGCCGTGGTCGATTCATCTCGTGGTGCTGTAAAAGCAATGCAGGTGAAAGCACGACACATTGTCTCTCAGAACAAAAGAAGATACCAGGTATAGTAATTTTTTTGTCTTCCTTGCTTCTGTTAGATTCTTGAAACTGTAGTGACACACATCATAGTCACAATAGCTTGTTCCAATCTTCAGGAGGGGGAATTCGATTTGGACATGACATATATAACTGAGAATATAATCGCAATGGGGTTCCCAGCTGGTGATATAAGCTCTGGTCTTTTCGGATTCTTCGAGGTACACAAGCTTGTTCTGGTCTGAAACAGCTAGTTCTTTTCTTCTCTCTTGCCTTGAGTTTCTCATTGACAAATGTCATATACAGGGACTATATCGCAATCACATGGAAGAGGTGATCAAGTTTTTTGAAACTCATCATAAGGTAACCATTGACCAAGCCTCTTAAACCGTATGAGTTTCTGACAAACTCCACCAATTCTTATATGATTCGTACCAGTTGGATTTGATTAGACATGTAGTGGTTGCTTGGCTTATGTTTGATCAAGTCGGTAGCACGCCAGATCTCTAAACCGTGTTCTCATTATGCAGGATAAATATAAGGTCTACAACCTTTGTTCAGAGAGATTGTACGATGCTTCAAGATTTGAGGGCAAGGTATATATACTTACTTGCTATCTCAGGCCATACAGTTTCTGTCGTTGCCCTTGTTTTCAAAGCTAATGTTTATAGAACTCGTACACCGTTTGCATCATAACATATCTGATTTCCTTTATTTCAGGTCGCATCCTTCCCATTTGATGACCATAATTGCCCTCCAATTCAATTAATACCATCATTTTGTCAAAGTGCATACACCTGGTTGAAGGAAGACATCCAAAATGTAGTGGTAGTTCACTGTAAAGCCGGAATGGCAAGAACCGGACTAATGATTTGCTGTCTTCTTCTATATCTCAAGGTAAAAGTTTAAAAGCAAAGTCTTGGCCGATGCACACATTCCTCCTCTGTAAGGCTCCTGTGACTGATCTCACTGGTAAACTCCATTGCAGTTCTTTCCTACAGCTGAGGAAGCTATTGATTACTATAACCAAAAGCGATGTCTTGACGGGAAAGCTCTTGTTCTCCCAAGTCAGATAGTAAGTCCTAAGCTTATACCAATCTTCTTATGTGCTTGTTCAATTCTCCTTCATCCTATTAAAAAAGCTTTCCTGTTTTTTTCAGCGATATGTCAAGTACTACGAACGTATTCAGAATCAGTTTGACGGGAAAGTTCCACCTGAACGAAGGTATGCTCCAGAAATATCTGACCAATCAGTTAGTTTGATTGCGTGGTGTGATATTCACATATCCCTAACAAGCGAACACACGTTTATGTAGATGCATGCTCAGAGGCTTTCGTCTAATCAACTGCCCTTACTGGATTAGACCTGCCATTACCATCTCCGACCACAATGGTACAGAGCTGATTTCTTCTTGCCTCTTGTATTTCCGCCTTAGTGTGATAGATGCTATGTTTTCTTCTATCGAACAGATGTACTTTTCTCAACAAAGAAACATCAGAAAACCAAGGATTTAGGGGTAAGCATTGTTCTCCTTGGCTCTTCTCTCTCTTTCTATTATTTTCTCCCGTTGTTATTTTCTACATAACGACGATTTGTCTTGACATATGAAACCTGTTTCTGTGTGATATAGCCTGAAGATTTTTGGATAAAGGCACCGAAAAAAGGAGTGGTTGCCTTTGCAATACCTGGTGAAGCTGGTCTAACGGAACTAGCCGGCGACTTCAAAATCCACTTTCAAGACAGCGATGGAGATTTCTACTGGTAAACTCTCTTCCTTCACAGTGCCTTCTCACAACTTCCAAATTCGAAAAGTAGTTTAACTCTCTCTGTTCTCTCTACACGCAGTTGGCTAAATACTACACTGACTGATAAGAGAACAATGCTGAAAGGTATCGACTTTGATGGCTTCGAAAAGGTAAAAAAAGAGAATGTATTATTAACCGTAATGATCTGTGAAACAAAAAGCCTGTGCTTGCTTTCCATTAAACTTGATCCTGTTGACGGTTTTTGCAGAGAAAACTACCTGCACCAGGGTTCCATGTCGAGATTGTAATGATAGAATCCAAATCTGGTTCTTCTTACTCCACCGAACAACGACCTCAAAGCAGCTCCGGCACTGATTCAGGCAAAATCAAGTCTAAACAGAACAGAGACGATGATGTATTCTCCGACAGCGATGGGGAAGAAGAGGAAGGAAACTCGAAACATATAGAGTCTAATTCAACCACCGAGAAAACCGTAGGCTCGATGCACACAACTAGTAAACCTCATCAGGTCAATGAGCCACCAAAGGCCGATGACCATTCTGCAAACAGAAGTGTCACGAGTTCATCGTCCTCTGGTGTTTATAATCAAGTACCGAGTGAGTCATTAGCAGTTAGTAATATTAAAGCTATCGCTGCAGACGCATCGGTTTTCTCCTTTGGAGATGAGGAAGATGACTATGAAAGCGACTGAAGTTTAAAATTCAGGTTTTGGTCACACTTATCTTATACAAACAAGTATAATAGATTCTGTATTGCCGCCTCTGTTTCAATGTAGATTTTTTTTATTAAAAAATTTGTAACAATTTCCTACCAAAATGTTTTATATAACATGAAGTCACCTAAGTTTTAATGAAATTGCAAATAACGAAACATATGTTCTATTTATTTTCTATATGATTTCCTTATGTTATTTTATTGGTATTTTACTTTAATACTATAACAATATACAACTAGCTTTGTAACTGATATTGAACGAATAAGAGAGAAACAGATTAATCTTCTTAATTAAACTAGGTAACTGCCCGCACGGATGCGTAGGTAAATACAATTATTGATTATTTTTTTCATGCTATTGTTGTTTCAATCCAAATCCACAACGATTTGAATTGTATTGCTGCTGGAAATGATGGCGGCCATTAGAGAAGTGATTCTCAAGTTGCAATGCTGTTTTACTAACTTTAATACTACCCTTTTTCCTTTTTTCTTTCATCATACAATGCAAACATCATTCTCTTAGTATTTCTTCTTTTGCAAATAATTTACAATTAGTTACACAAAACACATAATATTAACAACTAAATCAAATCAAAATCCTGGTTGTCAATTAAATCAAAATTAAAATATTCAATTATCATAAATTTATTTAAACAGATTAATTTTTCAAAATAGTTTTGCAGATTATTATTTCAATTATTTTATTAATACAATTTTTTTAATACCATTAAACCTAAAAAAAGAAAAATGGAAAATATATGAACATAATGAGCAAATGAATATAGGAGTAACTAATCTCTACATACTTCTTCTTTATAATTTTGGGAATTGATGTCTTTTCTTACATGAGTCGGTTTATAGTTTAAATTTCTTAAAGATAAGTTTGCTTCAAATCCAACTAAGTCATAACGTACAAATAATTTGATTGCTTTCTAAGAAGACTATGAGTAATGTAAGAACAAAGAGAAGGTATAAGCTTATACTGTTAATGTCACGGCTTATGGAGTGGTGGACAATCAAGAAGACTATCATCAAAGTACGTAGTCATATCGTATAATTAATTTGAATTTGTGTCACGACTCGTCAAGAACTCACAACCAGACCCAGCTAGCATGATCAATTAGCTTCATCATAGCAACCTCTTCATCCTCATCCTCAACCTGAGCTCTAACATCTCTGTAAATCCAGACAATCGATTTCAGAAAAGCGATCAATTGATGGATCCAACCATTAAATTAGAGTTGAGTCAGTCAAAGGAGCAATACAATTTAAGCTTAAGGCAACATACCAAGCAGTTTAAGGATTGAAGTGAACCAATAAATATTCAAAGGAGCAATAGGGCTTGACCATTTATACATAGTTCTTTGATTAAGTTTCTTCCATCTGAAAAACTACCAGAGACACAAAAGCTGTTTAAGTTCTACATTCGTTTATTTGCAATGTCCTGCATATTAAAAACATAAACATAATCGTAATCGAATAATAATGAGGACTCCAATCAAATCATTACACAAAGACCCTCCACTTTATCGTTCTTTTTATATATGTATCTTTTTAAACACCAACTCATACATTAACAAACTAAAATGATCCATGTGACAAAATCAGAGTGTTGTATTCATTTTCACCATTCTACTTTCAACATTCATAGTAGAATACAGATTTTTCAGAGTTGAAAATTGATACTTTATTCATAACGTATCTTTTCAAATTTCAAGAAACCTTTTGTACCAACGTTGATCAGAAAAGTGGGATTCGACTAACCATGTTCGAATTGTGAAACAAACTCAAATAAAAAAAAGCTGAGAAAATGTCTCAACGTTAACAAAGGTCAAAAAGCGGAAGATGTGAGTTAGAATTTTCTTCTTGTTTCAAACAAATATATACAGAGTTATAAAAAGCGGAAGATGTGAGTTAAAATTTTCTTCTTGTTTCAAACAAATATATACAGAGTTATAAAACATCTAGGTTTTTCTAAACCCGTTAAGACATTTAAAATTTATTACTTTTATAAACAAATTAATTTAAACATGAGCATAAAATCAACAGAAAATAGAGAACTCTAGAAGTAGCAAACCAAATATAATATACCAACAGCAAATCGATCAATGAGATTTATGTTCTGGATTTCACCTCTTGCATATGTCCTTCTCCTATTTCAATGGCCTCTTCTTACGTCTTGTAAATCCTTGTTGGTATTCTATTTTTAATCTACCTAAGCACCTAAAAACATGGAAGAGAAGATTAAAACTCACCATGAAAAAAAATTCCACCCAAGCATAAATAAGAACTGTGTCATAAGCTAAACAATAATAACCTAATTTGTTTTTCAGAAAATCAGTCGTAAAAGAATTTCTGCAAACCCTCAGTTTTGGGATTTCATTACCAAGAAGAGAAAAACCAAAGTTGATACACCATCAGTAGCATCAATTTTATATTAAAATTATGCTATCCTTAGTTCGATGAGATGATCCACCAACAATCATATACAAATAAAATCACAAAACCAAAATCACACCATACTAAAAGATAAAAAAATACAAATATGAAAATCGAACAAAATAAATATGTTTTACAACTAATTGTGTTATGTAAAGAAACATACCTCGTTTTGCTGAAACAACACAATAATATTCATAGCAAAAACACACCTCGTTTTGCTGAAACAACAGAATAATATTCATAGCACAAAGATCAGTTACAAAGAAAAGTAAAATTATCGAATGAGCTACAAAGAAAAAAAACATTACATTAAGACTTATAAAATTCAAAATAGCAAGAAAATTTAGTCAAAAGATTATAAATCTAGACCTAGTCATAATATCTAGAACTAAAATATAAAATTACCAAGAACCAACAAATAATATATATATATATATATAAGACAAAAGATTAGGGGTTTCATTAACCAAATTAGGTTTAGCAGAAAACTAAAATAGATCTAGACGTAATATAATAATTAAATAATTAAATAATTAAGACTTTTATTAAGAATAATTAAGTAATATTTAGATTTATTATAAATAAATAATTAACAGATTTCATTAAGGATAATTAAAATAAATTCACATGAGGAGTATAAGGTAATCAACCACTATAACTCTTAACCACAGCCCAACTTGTTTACCAATTAATAATATGATAACGAAAAAAATAAATACCAAACACAAATGTGGCAAACCAAAGGATAAAGGGAAAAAGGATGGAAGCAAGTTTTCTTCCGAAATTAAGAGTAGTACATAATAGTTAACCTAATCCAAGGTTTTATCATTCATCTTAAGCCATTTTACTGACATAACAATCAGCAGTTGATCCCGACTTCATCTTTACGCCAATCAGTATTTTGAGGCAAACCATATGAATCCTCAAATTAAAAAGAAAAAAAAAACATTAAACTCATTTCATCACTTTTAAAACAAGAGTCATGAAACCTTAATAAAAAAGCAGAGATTCTGCAATACAGTCTTTGGAACTACCGAAAACAACAACACAGTAATAACCTCCCTGTGTTTTTGCTGGCTGCCAAAAGAAAAAAATATTGAATTACATTTCTTTATAAAGAAGAAGAGAAACCATAAAAAAACATTCAAGAGTTTGAAAGAAGGAAACAAATGATTCAAAGTACTTCTGTATCAAATTAAAATGGACAACACCGGAATGATGATGATGATGACAGTAATTTGGTATGTAAGATTAGCTATTTTAGTTTTTCTGTACATTTTACAATATAATATTCTATTAGTTTTTTTGTCTAAGAACAGGAAAAGTCCAATTTTCTTAGTGGAAGCTGGAGATTGATGACTTTAGCTGTTGTTCATAGCATTTTGTTAGTATTTTACCAGTCTTTGGTAATTTATGAGATTATTTTTGCTTACACTAGAAACTTGCTGTCAAGGTGATTGAGCGTGTTGCTAAGCAAAAAGTGGATGAGGTTATGGATTCTTATCATCCATTTCTCAGTTATCAAAGAAATGGAGATGATACGTTTCATGTGATGATACTGCGACAATGTACTAGCTTTGCAATTGATCGTACCGGTTACTGATAGTAAGCTAAAATCTTCTTATATTATTGAATTAAGAACAAAATACCAAACACAAATGTGGCAAACCAAAGAAATAGAGGCAAGTTTTCTTCCGAAATTAAAGTAAAACATAATAGTTAACCTAATCAAAGGTTTTATTATCCATCTTAAGCCATTTTACGGATATAGCAGTTGAAACTTAATCCCGAACTCGACTTTAAGCCCATCAATTTCTGTGGCAAACCAGATGAATCCTGAAAGAAAAGAAAAAAAAAACACAATGCATTAAACTCATGTCATCACACTTTAAAACAGAGAGTCTCGGAACAATAACCAAAAAGTAGAGATTCTACAATATAATACCGTCTCTTTGAATCCACCAACGTTTTGAAACGCTTGATTAGCTTCTTTGGAACTACCGAAAACAACAACAGCGCAGTAATAACCTCCTTGTGAATTTGCAGACTGCCAATAGAAAGAAAACAAGAGAGGTCTGAAAGGCTTGGGTGTTATGAAACCTTAGAGAATATACATAAACCATACATGGTTTTGATTCCAACCTTAGCTTCAAGTTTAAACATTGTGGAACGAAACTCTCCAGCGAGAACAATGCTCAGTTTTTCAGATGACACATAGTGAGGGATTCTATGAAGAAAGAGTCTTGATTTTTCATCCTCCAGCATCTACCACAAAAAAAATGCAAAACATTGTAATTAACAAAATTAATGAAAAATACATATAAATTTGGTAAAAATATTTTTTTTTCATAAAAAAAAAACCTCTTTAGTTGGAGAAATTGTTGTGTCAAATCTCTTCTCTATAAAAGCGAGTGCAACTTTCATCGCAGCCGCTGCGTCTTGTACACAATCATGAGAAACGCCTTCCTTTCGGACTTCGCTACCAAAAATTGCCTGGAAAAAATAATTTAAAAGAGATTATGTGAAGAAAAAATGTAATTATTTAAAGAGTAGAGCTAAACAATTATCGACTAACCTTGTAAAGGTCATTAAGTGAAGGTTTCCTACCCTGACGTGCATTAGAAAACTTGAACACAAGTGCTGTATCGATCACTTTTGGATGATCTATCTTCAACACTGAAATCATTATACCAATTAATAAATTTATATCTAGACAAAATCAATAAAATTAACGAAACCAATACTCTTATTATTACACTGTGAAAATTTTACCTACCTCTCATGTCTTTGTTCAAACTGTGACCTACCAAGATAGCACCATTAGAAAGAAAGGGCTGCAATTCTTTCTGCAAAATTCATAAAGTTACATAATCACTAAGAATTGTCAAGAATAACATATAGAAAAATAAAGAGATATAATAACCATGGTATACCTGAATATCCAACACAGAGTAAGTAGCATTTTCGATATCTTGCGCAGTAACTCCTGTAATGACTGTCCTATAGTCAACAACACGTTTGTCCGGTTTCACATATTTGTCAAGAATGACCTAAACAATGAAACATTTTGATCACACGAGTCAAGAAAACAGGTAGATTGCAAAACAAGTAACTCACTAAAATAACATGGACTCAAAGAATCTCTAACTAAAAGATATATACCTTCAAATTACGGTCAACAGCGCCAACTCTAACCAAACCCTCAGTGCCATCTTCACAAAGAACCATCTCACAATCGATAGCTATCATTTCCGTTGATTTCATCACCGTCGACGACTTCATCCCAATATCAGATACAAACCAGTCCTGCTTAAAGAAATTCTTATAGAACAGCATAAAATAGAAAACTTTCAAGACATTAAAGCAAGAACCAATGATGAAGGAGAGAAACAAACCTTGGAGTGTGACTGGAAAGAGTATTCTACTGAGAACTCCGGATGCTTGAAGGTATGTAGAATAAGCCTCTGTACCGCCAAAAAAAAAATAAACATTTTAAAACTCACTTTTAAACACATTATTAGCAAACATATATGTGTATAGATCCATAAAATACGTCATTTAAAATGATTTGGAGTATAATTTTTCCCCCTACCTCCTCAGGTGTGACATTATCCGGAGACTCCTGCTTCAACTTTTCAACCAGGAGACGATTGGCGGTGATTAGCTTATGATCCATAAGTGCCGTCGAGTGAGAGTACTGTAGTGATTATGGCAGAAGCAGTTTTGGGAAGTACTAGAAACAGAGTTGGTGTTTATAAAGAGCATCAACAAAAAATAAAAATGTTGGAAAGTGAACCGACTTCAACAAAAATTAAATTAAAACGTTCCAACTTCCAACAGCTACAATAATCTCGAAAACTTTCCAAAATGCTTCGTAAAACGCTTCTAACTTCACAATTTTTTTGGAGAATTGAACTTTTCTACTTTTCAATTAATAATCAAACAAAACGTTCAAAATTCATTATACTAATGACATTAGCGGTTAGTGATATTAAGAAGACAACGAAAGCGTCTGAACTTAGAAACTTTATGATACACACACAAATAACGCCGATTCTGAATTGACTCTGTTTTTTAAACATGAAGACAGTAATTTTCTAATGAAGTATAATATGAAGATATTACTGAAAGATTTTTCATTGTTTCCAAATTACTTTTTGAAGTTGGCAATGATCTTACTCCTACACATATGAACTTGGACAATCCTTTTTTAGTTTCTGCTTCAGCTCTTCAATTCCTAGTTGCTTTGGTCTCTTAGATTCTTACGAAAAACTCATGTTAACACTAACAATACTTAGTTTTTGTCGTCGTTTTCTGTTCTTATATTACATAGAAAATCTTAATAAAAACAACAAATAATTAGCCGGAAAGATTCTCTTAGTAGTCACAGAGATTTACTACACGGATTCATCTTGAGCCATTTTACGGACGAATACACTAACTCTTGAACCAGAACTCAGCTTAAAGAAAATCAGTTTTTGTGGCAAACCCAATGAATCCTGCAAAAACAAAAACAAAATGTTTTATCAGCTTTACTATCAGATAGTTTTGGTTCCTTTACCAGAAGAAGCAGAAGATTCAAAAGATACCTGTCCTTGGTCTACATTAACGTTTTCAAATGCTTGATCTGCTTCTTTTGAACTATGGAAAACAACAAACGCACAATAGCAACCTCTCTGTGTTTTTGCTGGCTGCCAAAAGAAAGAAATAAGAAACCGAGGTTAGAGAAAGATTCATCGTTAACTATCCGTAGAGAAAAAAAGTAAAATACATTTCTCAACCTTAACATCAAGTGTAAACTCTCCTGAAATAAACTTTCCAGATATAACTTGCTCCAGCTCTTTAGATGGCACATTGTGAGGGATTTTATGTAAAAATAGTCTTGATTTCTCAACCTCCAACATCTATAAGGAAAAATTTGCAGACATTTGTAATTGTAATGGTTGGACTTTATGATCAAAGACTCATAAGTTTGGTTAATGTATCTTTGAAAACCTCTTTAGATGGTGAGATTGTTGTGTTAGCTCTTTTCTCTATAACAGCAAGTGCAAGTTTCATCGCAGCTGCTGCGTCGTGTACACAGTCATGAGAAACTCCGGTCTTTCTGACTTCGTAACCCAAAATAGACTTGGACATTTTCATTTCAGAAACAAAGAAAAAAGTATCAAAAATGTTACTATCTTTTTGTGATGATTATTCCCTCAAGAGTAGAGAAATTAACCCATTATAGACTTACTTTGCAAAGGTTGTTAAGTGAAGCTCTTCTGGGATTTCGTTCATTGGAATACTTGAACACAAGTGCTGTATCGATTACTCTTGGATGATCTATCTTCAACACTATGATCAAACAAAAATGCGGAATGTAAGTAAATTTGTAGCTAAAAGACAACAAAATCAATATTCACACTCACTCCACTGGTTACTTCTTTTACTTACCTTCTAAATCTTTGTTCAAGCTGTGACATACCAAAATCGTACCATTTGAAAGAAAGGGCTGCAAAGTTTCCTGCAACATTTCTCACAATTAACAAAACGAATATTCGCTTTTGCTTGGACAAAATAGCAAACAGAAAGACTCTACATGGTACCTGAACATCTGCCACAGAGAGGGTTTCTTTCTCGATATCTTCAGCAATAATCCCTGTTATGTCTGTTCTATAGTCAACAACAGGCTTGTCCGGTTTCACAAATTTGTCAAGAATCACCTAAGCCATGAACATTTTGATCACTCAAGTCAAGGAAACAAGTCGATTGCAAAAAAAAGAAGAAGAAGGAACTCTCTAAGTGATTCTAAGCTATATACCTTTAAATCATGGTCTACGACACCAACTCTAACCAAACCCTCAGTGCCATCTTTACAAAGAACCATCTGTTGAACCATCTCGCAATCAAGAGCTACCATTTCTGTTGATCTCATCACCTTCGACGACTTCATTCCAACATCAGATACAAACCAGTCCTGCGTATATCAAATTCGAAACTTTTATAAGAACCGCATAAAACAGTTTTTCAAACACAGCAAGATCTCATTGTTTTAGGAGAAGGAAACAGACCTCGGAGTATGGCTTGAATGAATAGTCTACCGAGTAAGCAGGATGCTCAACAGTCAATCGAACTAGACTCTGTACTGTCGAACAACATATCAATAGCTCAAATCTCAAACTTATTATTATATATACAAAACATGTTTTGATTGATTCTTCCTAACAAATCTTTCCTCACCTGCTCAGGAGTGTCATTATCCGGAGATTCTTGCTTCAGCTTCTCAATCAGAAGATGATTCGCGTGACATTTCAGAACCTAAGCATAAAGAATTAAAGAAAACCAAAACCTTAGTAGTAAGCATTTGGTGTGTCCAAAATTAAAAATTACAACTTGTGTTTTTTTTTCTTTCGCTTACCAGCAAATCGTCCTTCTTCTTGAAAGTCGTCAGAAATGCGACCAACTCGTCGTGGGAACGAGTCGAAGGGTCATTCGGCGATCTAAAAACTCCTTCCAGTTTCCGATTTCGCCTCGCAGACCTCGACTCTGCACTACCTTCACCAACTCTTGAAGCACCTAATCGGAAAATTTAACGGAATGTTTAGATACATAGAAAGCTGATTCGACCTTCGGAAAGAGAGAAACGAATCCAAAAACAGCGAATTGTTCTTAAAACAAATTTGGAGCTCGGCACTGAGAAATTAGAGCAACAGATAAGAAATAATAGGGAGACGAACTTCTTTCTCGGCGGTAGCTAGTCTAAGCTCTATGGTATGAGACAATGCCGTCATCGAGTCGGAGAGGACGGATCACGGCGACTCTGCTGCGAGTTTTCAGAGACGGGAGTAAATTTGGCTGAACACTGTTTTGAGGGGGGAAAGAAGAAGAAGAAACAAATTTAGGTTTTTTTTTTATGTCTTTCTACTTTTTGATTTTGAGAAATTCCCCCTTTTTATATATAGTTTTGGGTTTCTTTAAAACAAAAACAACAAAAAAAAAAAAAATACCTTATATCATCTCTCTGCGCATAGTGACGTCTTTGACATTATTCCAAGAGCCAAGTTTGTGCCTTTGTGGTTGAAAATCTATTATCTATCCATTGTTTTTTGTGTGCATTGATTGTCGCTCACTAGATTTACTTCTCCTTTTGCTCTGGTTTTTTTCTTTCTCTGGATTTTCACTCTCTCTCGCAATGGGATTATCCTGGTCCATGCCATGTGATCAAGTTGTGAATCAAGTCTCTCAATGTTTATCAGTCAAAGCGAGTTATATCTACAACCTTCCGGAGAATTTAGAAACTCTGCAAAAAGACATGGAAGTGCTCAAGGCAAAGCGAGATGATGTGCAACGAAGGGTAGACAGAGAAGAGTTTATACCGCGTCGCCAAAGACTTGCTCAAGTTCAGGTATGGCTTAAAACTGTACTCGCTGTTGAGAATCTGTGTAGTGATCTGCTTAGTACTACTAGTAGTAACGTTGAGCTCCAAAGGTTGTGTTTTTGTGGACTCTGCTCCAAGAATGTGAAAAGGAGCTACCTTTACGGCAAGAGAGTAGCCCGGATGTTGAAGGCGGTTGCGGATCTTGGTTCTGGAGGAAACTTTGTTGTGGTAACTGAGGAAGTTCATCTTCATGTAACTGAGGTTGAAGAGATGTCTGTTCAACCTACCATTGTTGGTCAGGAAACACTGCTTGAAGAAGTGTGGAACTGTTTCATGGAAGATGGAGTTGGGATTATGGGTTTGTATGGTATGGGCGGTGTGGGAAAAACCACTCTTCTCATGCAGATCAACAACAAGTTTACTGAAACAAGAGGCCGCTTTGATGTTGTGATATGGGTTGTGGTGTCTAAAAGTTTAGACATCCATAAGATTCAAGAAGACATAGCACAGATGCTAGGGTTTTGGAGTGAGGAGTGGGACAAGAAGAAAGTAAACGATAAAGCTGGTGACATATACAATGTTCTCAAGAGCCGAAAGTTTGTCTTGTTCTTGGATGATATATGGGCAAAAGTGAATTTAACGACGATTGGAGTCCCTTATCCGAATATAGAAAACGGATGCAAAATAGCGTTTACCACTCGCTCAAGAGATGTGTGTGGACGCATGGAGGTTGATGAGTCAATGGAAGTCAGTTGTCTGGATCCCGACAAAGCATGGGAGTTGTTCGAAAAGAAAGTTGGAGAAAACACATTGAGAGCCCATGCAGACATTCCGGATCTCGCAAGACAAGTCGCTAGAAAGTGTTCTGGCCTACCATTGGCACTCAATGCAATCGGGGAAACTATGTCATGCCAAAGTACGGTACAAGAGTGGCGTCGTGCAGTTAGAGTTTTGACTTCATCGGCGGCAGATTTTTCAGGAATGAAAGATGAAATTCTTCCTGTTCTCAAGTACAGCTATGACAGTTTGAATGGAGAGTTGGTGAAATCATGTTTTCTTTATTGCTCTCTCTTTCCTGAGGATTATCTTATAGACAAAGAGAGATTGGTAGACTATTGGATATGTGAAGGATTCATAGATGCAAGCCAAGGTAGAGAAACCGCAATGGACCAAGTTTATGAAATACTTGGCATCCTTGTACGGGCGTGTTTATTGGTGGAAGGAGAAATGAAGAATATAGCATATGTGAGTATGCATGATGTGGTTCGTGACATGGCTCTATGGATATCATCTGGTACTGGCAAGAATAAAGAGAGACACGTTGTGCAAGCCGGTGTTGGATTACGCAAAATGCCAAAAGTCAAGAATTGGAAGGCTGTGAAAAGGATATCGTTGATGCGTAATAATATTCCAAGTATATGTTGCAGCTCCAAATGCAATGAACTTACAACGTTATTCCTTCAGAAAAACGACTCATTGGACTATGTTTCGGATGAGCTCTTCTTATATGCTCCAATGCTAGTTGTGTTGGATCTGTCAGGCAATCCAGGCATCTCTAGATTGCCGCAGATGTCAAAGTTGATCTCTTTGCGTTACCTTGATTTGTCAGACACAGGCGTGGAGTATGTTGGTTTAAAAGAGTTGAAAAAGCTAACCCATTTGAATTTGGAATACACACGGAAGCTGGAGAGCATTTCAGGGATATCGAGTTTGTCGAGTTTGCGGTCGCTGGGACTGCTAGGATCCATAAAGACGCTAGATATGAGCTTGCTGAAGGAGCTGCAACTTGTGGAACATCTCGAAGTTCTAACGATTGAGATCAGTTCAGAGATGGTTTTGGATCAACTCTTAAGCTCTCACATGTTGATAAAATACGTTCAAAAGATAGGCATCAGGGACTTTGAAGAATCAACAAGAGTGTTGACTTTGCCAACTACGTGTGATCTCCGTAGGCTCAGCATAATCTTGAGCAATATGGGGGAAATACAGATTGAGAGGACAGTTTCATCATCGACCAATAGTATTCCATGCTTTGCAAACCTCTCAAGAATCGATATATGTTTTTGCGATCATCTTAAAGATCTGACGTGGCTGGTGTTTGCTCCAAATCTTGTTGATCTTAGAGTTTATTCGGCAGCGAAACTGGAAGAGGTGATAAGCGAGGCAAAAGCTGCGAGTGTTATTATTACAGGACCACATGTTCCTTTTCAGAAACTAAGAAGCCTCTACTTATATGAATTACCTGTGTTGAAGAGCATCTACTGGATTCCTCTGTCTTTTCCTTGTCTAAGTAAAATTGGCATTGCTGGTTGTCCGATGCTGAGAAAGCTTCCATTGGATTCTACAAGTGTTGTGAGGTTTGAAGAATTTTTCATAGAGTACAAAGAGGATAAATGGATCAAGGATGTTAAATGGGAAGACGAAGCCACTCAACTCCGTTTCTTCCCTCTCTCTAAGCTTGGCCCCGACCCAGCAGTAACGGAAATTCTTAAATTGAGGTCAACGATAAACGACTAAAAGCATCTCCAGCAGCGTTCCTGGAGAGGGTCTCTTAACATTAAAAATAAATAAAAATAATAAAAATGTATGAAAAATGCAAGAGACGTCTCTCATTTAACGATTTTCAGATACGTTTGTAAGCATGTTTCTACCACTTGTCATTTTATAATTAGATCAATCACTTTATATTTAATAGTTAATTAAATTATTAATATATACTAGGTATTTATATGTGCTATGCAGCAGGAATTTTTCTAAATTTTGTATATATTTTTAATACAATAAAATTATTTTTATAATATAAATGAGTATTATATTTATTTTTTATTAGCTTAAGTTATGTATTTATATGTTTTAAATCTGAATAAACATTACATATATATATATTCAAAATTATATTTTGCTATTAAATTTAGTTAGCTAACTAATTATAAATGTGTATATAGGAATAAAATATATAAGAATAAAGTAATACATTTTTAGTACATTCATGCTAATGACAAATGTAATCTATTTTCTCCAATAAATTGCCACATGATCCTCCTTTGTAATTATATAAAGCAAAATGTCATTTAAAAAAAAGATTTATAAATTAATATGATTATTTTGAATTGTAAAATTTATTTATTTATCAAATATTTTATTATAAACATATGTTTCTAAAACTACCAAACTATAATCAATAACATTCATATCAAAACCATTGCTATTGTTTTAGAACTAAATAGAAAATTATGTTTGAACTCTTAAAATATCGTTTTAGTTAAAGTTAAATAATTAAATTTTGGTTACTGTAAACATAATTTGACTTGGAAATTTACCACAGAGAAATTTTATCTTCTTACAAAAATCGAGAAATCGTATTTCCCGTCAAAACAAAAAAAAACTTCATTTTCCCATTAAACTGAGAAATCGGCTATTCCCGCCAAAACCAAAAAATTCATTTTATCGTCAAACCTAAAATCTAAAATTTTATTTTCCCGCGAGAACCTGTGTTTTTCCACCAAAGTCGAGAAATTACGTTTTTTCACAAAAACCAAAAAATTTCATCTTCCTGCAAAAAACAAAAAAAAAATTGTATTTTCCCGCCAAAATCGAAAAATTTATTTTTTCCTGCGATAAACTGAGAAATCGTTTATTCCTGCCAAAAAAAAATCATTTTCTCGTCAAGCCTAGAATCACGCTTTCCTATAAAAACAAATAAACTACAATTTCCAGCGAAAACCAAAAATTGCATTATCTCCCGTGAAATTATGTTTTCCTGCGAAAACTAAGAAATTGTTATGTTTTTATCGGTTCAAATTTTTGTTGATGTGTGAGCTTCTTATAACATAAGGCTTTTTGCAGTGTTGTCATAGAAGCATAGTTGATGCTGAGCCTACACTTTTTCAATCATATACGTTTATGTCAAACAAACAGATAGCTAGAATTTTTGTTTTATTATTTATTTGCTGTTATTTATTATTTGGATTTGGCTTTGGCAAAAAAAAAAGAAAACAATGATTTATTTTTTTTAATTTGCTTTTATTTATTATTTGAGTTTGGATTTGACAAAAAATAAAATAATAATTTTTTTATTTACTGTTATTAATTATTTGGTCTTGGGTTTAGTAAAAAATAAAAAAAAAATTATTAGAAAACATATTTGGGTTTTTAATGGATTTAAGTTTAAAAAATTAAAATAAATAGATGAGATGTATTAATAAAATATTTTGATTGGTGATTATTTTTGCTGAGGTGTCATGTTCATAAAGTTTAAAAAAACTGAAGTGTGAAGCCATTAAGAAACTTGAATGTTATTATTGTGTTGATTAATAAAATATGCTTTAGAAACCCAATTTAAAATACTTAGCAATGGGGATGGTCTAAGTTGTTGTATTGTAGAGTAGCAGCATTTAAAAATGTCATGGATGTCTTTTATATACCCCGTTCTTTGGGAAAATTCGAAGAAACAAGAAACAACAATACACAAGTAGGTTTGTTTTTTATTTTGAACAAGCAAAACCATTTTTTTAATAAAAAAAAAATGTAATTAAGTAGAACT